GAAATTTTATTGGATAAAACCATATGAACTAATCATAGTGTTCTGGAGGATCATTATATTATCGTCATCCCCAAAAACAAGGGGCTAAAGTGCATAAAGTTCCTATGGTAATGTACTTATTATATAATTTTTCTCTAATCCAAGCAAAACACTTGACTATAAATCCTACTTCAAGTTGACATATAACCCACTCAATCTTATAAATTTTTTGTTCTTTGACTTTTACTCAAACATGTTAGTGCTTCAAATACATACTACTATGTAAACACTTCTTAAATCCTAAGTAGGGTGACTTTGAGCCTAGAGTGCTACAACTTCATCCATGTTTTGGCCCTTCATCCATATAATCTCTAGCATATTAAATATTAGTAATTCTTTCATCTCGTCCACAATTTGGATATGAAGTGTAAAATCACTCACTCATCTTCAAAGGATGTTGTCACCCCTTATCACTATGTCAATTTTTTTTATTCATGTCTCTCACACAAGTGATTATCCTTGAAAGAAGTAGGAGAAAATATCCTAATGAACAGCTTTCTAAAAGAAATGGAGCAACTCAAAACTCAACTTGAAGAAATTTTTAGAGGCTTTTGAGGGCTTTTTCAAATTTTGTAAAACTAAGCTAGCTATCATCTTTCCTTGAGTTAACCACTCTACATTGTCCTAATAAGCAAGTAATGGCCTTTAAGATGAGTTCCATCCACCAACAATGGCTGGCAATTGTTTAAAAACAACTAAATGTTCCATAAGCTTTTATTTGGAAGGAAACAAATCCTCAAAAGTTTCAGATTGAATTCATTCTTACAGCCTAATCCCAATTACAATATATAATTTTGTATACGCTCACTCTATGATGCAATGGTTTTGTTCATATAACTAGAGATCAATAAGCTGCTTTAGATTAAATGGAAACATAATTGTTTTGTTCCCACTTAATATAGAAGAGGCTATGAGACGGTTTGCAGACTCTGTTGGATGATAAGCATCCCAATAGAAGTATTGGTTTCTCGTAGAACAAACTGATCCTAATGGTAAACAAGCGAATAATCTCAAGGGTGATACTCCACAACAAGCATCACGGCCATTCACAAATCCTGTCATACAAATTACAATGAGCAAATGATGAATTTGTGTTAAGCTTACCATATTTTGAAGGGTTGTTTGTTGCATCGTAAAATAGATCATATGTAGTTCCAAACACCATCTTCGCTCCATTCAAGTCTCGATTCATCCCTGAAACCATATCCTTGAGTGCTCTGTCAAAATTCACGGCCAAAGTGTTGGCTTCTTCATGGCAAGCCTTGCCATTTGCTCCCAAAATATTGCCCTCTCTCTTAAATGGAATGCAACCAAGTGGTCCAAGAGCAAAAACCACTATTTTGCGAGCTCCTAGTTGATAGGCTCTCTGTTGAGAATCAAAATTACACCGTGTAAATCACCGTGTTGAATCAAAATCAAATCAAATGAAATGAGTTATTGAGCAAGAAAAGCAATCACTTACATTCAAGTAGCCTTTGTATGCAGAGATTACTTCATCTTGAAATTCTTGCGGAGATTTGCTCCTGGTGCTGTTCATGTAATTCAAGTAATTGTTGGATCCAAGAGCAAACAAAAATATTGACCGTGACAAAAGATCAAATGCGGGGTCCTCGCCTCCCACAAGCAAAACGATCTCAGACCTAGTGTTGACGAAATTCTGGATCTGCTGGATCTGGTCAAAGGTCCAAGGATGGATGGTCAACACGCTTCAAAAGCCCAAACTAAACACTTTACATTCTGGAGGAAGTTCACGGAGGAATCATTGAGGATTCGAGCGCCGCCTGATGCGTAGCTTACTCCTTTGAGGATCACACTGCCTTTTGTGTTGGGATCGTGATAAGCAGGGACTAGAGGAAGCCCAAGTTCTTGAGCTGGTGGAAACAAAACAAACTCAGAAAATGTGTAGATCAATTTGCCTTGCTTACCAATGAGATCCACGACTGTGAATCCATTGCAAAACCTTCCTGTCGCCTTCCCTCCTGGGAAATCGATTCCATTTGGCCGAAATGCTGGTGACGAGGAACTTGTTGTTTCCGGGATCTGTCAAAGAGTCACCAAAGACGAAGAATGCAGGAACTTGGGCACGCCCAGATCTAAGAACCAAAAAAAAACTCAAAATCGAAGCTGCTAGAGGAAGAAGACGCATCATCACTCTTCTCTTAGTCAAGGTAAAGTGGCGATCTATTCGTTTCTTATTCTCACACGCAGTCAGTCAAAGTCCATTTTATGGTCAATTTGGTAGAGCTGGGCAATCCCCCTCATAGTAACACAAGGGAAGAAAATAAAAGCAAGGATGGACCAAGAGCTGCCAATCTTGGCTCCTTCCAACACTTCATGGAGGACACCATCAACTGCTTTACCAGATGACAAAGTACGTTGAGCGTAGTCTGTCTTATAGTCTCCGCAGCCTCTCTGTGAATCCGAAACCCCCAGCTTCAGCTAGATCACCTTCTCGCCATCTTGCTGCCATCTGACACTGGTTTACTTTGCTCCTCGCTGAAGCTGTGCATTATACCGCAACAGTGCTAATCCCCTGGAGCAAACAAAAGAATTAAAAATGGCTGGGAATAGAAACATGGGTTCTGATTTTTTTATTTGCTTCAATCGCTTTTTGTGTTTGCTCAATCACTAATCTACAAGAGCCCTACCACGTCATCAATTGAGCGTTCGGATTAGATCAGACAAGTCCAACTTATAGTCTTTGGACACCAGCCTCCTTCCAGTTTCTGTGGAGAGCTTTGATCCGAGTTCGCAAGCTGCATCCTGGCCAGTCATCTTCGAGTTTCCTTGCTGCAATCTCGTCTTGATCCCTTCCTAAGCTGCATCCTGGCTGTGATGGTCGCTAGGCTCATCATCTCTTCTTGAGTTTCACTCAGAGCTGCTCAACTGGCCAGGGATGTTGCTTGCAGTGGCATACATCACAACTTGCGTACTCTGATTGAAGACAAAGCTCTCCAGCAAAGAGCAGTGATTCTTGAGCAGTTCCTTATTTAAGTTTGGCATAATAAACTAGATATATCTAGAATATTCTTGAATATTTTAAAATATTCTACCATTTAACGGTTGTTATTCATTTAGGTTAATCCAGTATTTATAATTTACAAACATATTTATAGTTTATAAACTTTCTAAAACACTTTCTAGTATATTCTTTTTTATTCTACCATCTATTTCTTTGCAATGTCTGAACCTATTTAATAATAAATTGCTACGCATTGAATATAGCAACACTTGGTTTGCTTATTAGTAGTTTTATTATTACTTATTAATCTAATTGATCAAATAAAGTATATAATTATAAGTTTAAGAAAGTTTATAAATTTTAAACATGTTTATAAATTATAAATACAAGATTAATCTAAATAAATAATAACTGTTAGATGGTAGAATATCCTAGAATACCCAAGCATATTCTAAGTATATTTACTACCAACAACCAAAAATATTGCCAACAGTTTTCTTTGTTTTGTCTTTAAGATGCTTGATCTTCCTGCTCAAACTTTGCTACTTTGATCTGGATCCACCAATACAGGGAGCCAAGGGAGCCATTACCGTTGACAAGAATATTTTAAGAATATTCTAGCACACTAAGAATGTTTAAGTTTTAGATCAAGAACAGAAGAACTTGAATAGTGATCTTTGATTTTTTAGTTTCATTCATTTCATTTTATTTGCAAGATACAGAAAAGCGACAGCCTTTGAAGACTTGCATGATGTTAATATGCCTTAAATTTCTGGTCTTCTGCTGCCTCTCCCGGTGCTTCCATGGCTGGGCCGTACTCAATGGATTTGGTGATGGCGGTGGTGCAGTCAGGCACTCGGCAGGCATCGCACTGCAAAGAGAGATCACGTTAGAGCAAGAATTCAGGAGCTAATATATGCACCTCCAGTTGTTCCATATGTTATAGAGCCATTTGACTGCAGAAAGAAAGAAGACTCACTCACTTTTGAGACAAATATTAAGCACTGAGTTAACGCCTACTGAAGACTGTCAAGCCAAAGTTATGGTTCATAAGCGGATCAAAAGGCCTTAGTGCTCCCATTGTATGGAAACAGACTTGACACGAACGAAAGCTTCAAATCGTGAACGCGTTTTTAATGAAAAAAAAAAAAAAAAAACGAAGAGAGAACTTTGTTTGATCAGCATGGCAACTTCCATCGCAAAGTCAAACTTGCAAACCTATCTTTCACGCAAGCCTCGGATGCTTGCAGAGATTTTATAGGATCCAAGAACAGCCGAGGATCTAATAGTAACAAAACCGCTGTGAAACAAATTCCGGGATTTGTCTAGCTCTCCATTAGCAATGGCAAGCTCCGCCTGCCAAAACCAAAGAAAGATACAAGAATAACTGCATTGGAACCTTTGGTATGGTCCCATCACGCTTTTCCAAATCCAAACTACATGAGAAAGTAACATAATGTTTTGATATGAGTATGGTAGTCGTCGCGTGATCACTTATCGCGGCCACTGCCGATCCATATATCCAGAGCTTCCTTCACATTTGCAAGTTTCTATAATAAGGGTAGAAAGAAATTGGATGGTCATCGTAGTCTCTTTCCTGTTCGAAGAACGGTTTAAATTAAGGTCCCACCGAGATTCGAACTCGGGCTCTTGGATTCAAAGTCCAATGTCGTAACCACTAGACTATGGAACCATTTCTGTTGAGTTAATCGATCGTTACTATGGCTTTAAAAAATATTTACAAACCAAAACCATCGACAAAGTTGAAGGGAAAATTAAAAAAATTCCGCGACCGTGGTCTGGTCAACGGTACCCACGCGAGATCAGCCCCATGGATGAACATTCGTTTCCGCTAATTACGTTTGAAAAGATGGCGCAGGACAAAAGAGAGGAATATTCATTAAATTGGACTTCTCATACTTGGCATCTAGCATTGAGCATCTTGACGGTGTTTACAAAACCAGCGATCTCCTACTAATGCATAAGTGATTTTATAGCTATGGCAGAAGATTTTAGCATTCCTCTCATTGATCTCGCTCCTTTGCACCAGGCGGGAAACGCTCCCAGAGTCGAAGTTCTAGAGAAAATCTCCAAGGCCTGCGAGGAATGGGGATTCTTCCAGGTGATCAACCATGACCTGGATTTGAAGCTCTTGTCTTCTCTCTTCCAGAAGAAGAGAAAACCAAGATGGAAACCAGCCATCCACCCGTGGGATATGTAAACAAGAGCGGTGTTGGTGGAATGGTTGATAGAAAAGAGCACTTCTTTGCGCACGTAAGTGACAATCCAGCTTCCAAGAACGTCTGGCCTGAGAATCCATCGACTTTCAGGTATGAGAACGTCTTAGGAAGTTGATTGATTGATTTGCATGTTTTCTGTGTTGATGGTTTCTCTCCTTGAAGGCCAACAGCCGAGAACTTGATTCTGGAAGCACGGAAAACTGCAAGTTTTCTCGTGAAGATCATGAGCGAGAGCCTGGGCCTTCCCAACGAGCAACGTCTGGAGAACTTGTACAAAGCCGGCGATGCTCTGATCATGCTGAAGTACCCAGCATGTCCAGAGGGATACGAAGGCCCGGTTCTTGCCAAGCACCGAGATGGAGATATTCTCACCATCGTCGCCCAGCTCAACAATGCCCAAGGCCTCGAAGTTTTACACGAGAAAGACCAGCAAGAGATCTGGGTTCCTGTAAAACCAGTGGAAAATGCCCTGGTTATCAACGTTGGTGATGTTCTCCAGGTAAAATCTTTGGTTATTTCTATCGATCTAAGCTAGTGTTTTTATTTGCCATGGTGTTTATAAGGTGTGGAGCAATGGGCGATACAAGAGTGTTTTGCATAGAGTGTCCGGCTCACAAATGGATCGCTACTCCTTTGCTTACTTCCATATGCCAGTGCCAACCACGCAAATCTCCCCTCTAGACGCTTTCACTGCGCACGAAATACCGAAGTACAGACCTTTCATGCATGGTGAATACCTCCAATTACGCTACGAAAACAAAAAGCTCGACTCCAAGAATGCCAAAGAAATCACAATAGATTACTATGCAATGTAAACGAGCTTACATCAAACAAAATAAAAACCCATCTCTTTCCGCAAAGATGTCGAGTTTTCAAGGCGAAAAAAAGCTCTTTTTTTTCCTTTTTAACATTTTTACAGCAGCTCCACCCTCGTTATTACAAGCCTTCGTCCTGGGAATCAAATCTTTCGCTGGACCATTCGCCGGCTTCGCGTCGATCGTATCACTGGGAGCTTCAAAGTTTGGCCCGGCTGTGCCGCCAATTCTCGCACCCGAGCTAAAATGTGAGCGGGAATCGACACCGAGAAATGTTTTCTCCGCTTCTCACCTTGCTCGGACACCTGTGAGAAGAAAAAAAAAAAGAGAAGACATTTATGTACCACTATAGCTTGTGAAAGATATCACATACCTGACGCGAAGAATGTGAATGTACTCGACTGGCTCGTAATAAGTTTCGCCACTTGTCCTGCACTAGTTCGATCAGGAAACACTCAACCATCTAAACTAGAGAATTTGGGATGGTTTTCTACCTTCAAGTCAACTGGAGTTCGATAAGCGATGGCAGAGAACGCAAGTCTCTTGATGTCGGCCCACTTTCCAGTGCCACAGCGAGAAACTCCGTCCACCAAAGCCATTACTTCCCGCAGCGTCCAGGGTCTATGGTGCTTCCTACGCGATCCCGACTTTCGATCTGTGTCCTGGTCCTCAGTGTCAGATGGCTGCAATTCGTCTGACACAGAAGGAAGCATGCACGAGACTTGATCCGCGGACTCGTCATTAGGCTCGTAGTTTTCGTCCTGCGAGACAGTGTTGAGTTGAAACACAACTAATGAGAAAAACTTACATTGTCCTGGCCGGGAGCAGATGGAAGCTTGAACTTGATTTTCCTGATGCTAGTGTTCGCGTCGCGTTTAGCCGCCCTTGCATTTCGAGCCATTTTTACAAGCTGCGCTGCTCGTCGCTCGGCCTTCAGCTCCTACAACAACAAAACGTGAGCCGGAGAAGCACGCAAAAGTTACCAGAACACTTACACCCATGCGATTGCGACTCCGGGCTCCGAAAGAACCTTCCGGTGACATCGAGTCGAGCTCTCTGCCATTCAGATCAAAGGACTCGTCCAGGTCGTCGCCATCAACATCTGGATCATCGGGATCACCATCTTCACCATCTGACTTCCAAAAGTCCACTTGCAGCTGCTGTTGTTGATCCTCGGGGCTGCTCATCGATGGAACAAATGACGCAACATCATCAGCTTCTTCTTCCACATATCTCCTGTTTGGCTTCCGGTGCCTCTTTCCTTCCAAACTCTGGACTTCGTTGAGATGGGACTGCCCGTCGCTAGGCCTGCTCACCACTGTGGTTGTCGAGGCGTCTAAGGAAATGGTTGGCGAGGTACCTAATACCACCGGCTTGACGTCCTCCTCCTGCTTTTCCATGCCAAAAGGCTGCTCCGCGGAAGTCTCGCCTTCAAGGCGTTCTTTCAACAAATTTTCCTGTGCCTGTGCAGCCACCACCACTGCCTGTGCCGAGCTCTCGTTCATAGAATTCAGGCCTTTGGTGATTTTCTGCTTCAGCCAGTGCTTGTCTTTAGCCGAAGTCACCCGACCAAACGTGTTCCTGTAAGTGTCTTGCAGTGCCCTGATAGAAAGGTTGTCTAGAAAAAGCTTGGGTGGAGTATAAGAAGCATCGAATTGAGGAGTAATAGTACCGGGTGTAGAGCTGCTGCAGATAGGCTCTTCTTCCATCAGTTTCAATGGCTCAACCTTGACTTGGGCCACCATTTGGTCAGAAGGAGGAAGCTCGCCGGTGCAGTCGAAGGCGTTTATGTTGAAGTATTTTGGATTAGGCCGACGCCGTCTCTTGTACGTGAACTTCGCACCATTATAGCCGGAACTCTCTAAAGCTCTTTGATCTTCCTCCGTCTTGACTTTCAAGAGCATAGTATCTACAACCTACAGTCAACCATCAGGTGGTGAAACGCGTGGTAAAGATAACGAGAGGCATACCTCTAGCTGCTTGAGCAATCTCAACTTCACGTCTTCCAAGTCTTCCTCCATGGGTCCTGGACGAAGCAATTCTTGAATAGGAAGAGAAAGAAACAAAGACAAAGTTAAAAGGAACTTACGTGCATCGTCTTTCTCATCGTCTTGATCGGTATGATCGTCCTCAGAACTCTCGCCTTGAATCAGTGATTCAACTTCCATGAGATCCTCATCGGTAGTAGGAAACATCATCCCATTCTCGTCAATCTGTTGGTAAAAAAAAAAAAAAAGAAAACGAAGACTTAGAACAAAAAAAAAAAGAAAGAAAAAACAAAGAAGAACTCTTACCCGGACAAGAGTGTACATGATGCGCTCGTCTTTCTCAAGAGGGATTTCCACCTCCTCATTCTTCACAGCCAGCATTTTTTTCCCAGCAGGAACAAAAAAGAAAGAAAAATAAATCCGCGCAGCGCTCTGCCAGCAAAAGAAATAGCCTAAGATCGATCCGGAGCTGCGAAGAATGCAGATCGGCACACCTAGAGCCCAGAAACCGAGCGATTCCTAAAGAAACCTATCCTGACCTGATCAAGCGCCGTCAAGATGCCGCGGGGCGCCGCTCGAATCGCCCCTCCCCAGCTCGAAAATCACGCCTCGACCGCCATAGCCAGCGCCATCGCCATCGGCCCCCCTTTTTTCCTTCCTCCTAATAAAGCCCCGCCCTTCGAGAGCTCAAAGATCGCCCTCCTCCGCCATAGCCAAAAGCTTTCTATGTGGAGGTGAGAAGGAAAAAAAAGAGAGAACGCCTCCACTACTGTAGCAACAAATGAGGTAAAAAAAAAATCCCAATTACTCGATTCCTGAGGTAAATAGCGATTCGCGTGACGCGTCCGTACGGCCCCAGGGTGTACGGGCGGTGATTAAAAATAAACGGCCGCAAATACGACACGTGGGCTCATTGCTCTCTCTCTCTCTCTCTCTCTCTCTCTCACATTTCAAATGGAGGAAGACGAGCGTTCTTCTTCGTTTTCCTCGTCGCCAAAGCAGCCCTGGGGAGAATTCTCGCCCAGCGCGATCCCCTGTGCGTTCTCGCAAAAGGAGCTCACGCTACTCTTCGCTTTGACGCTGGTGAGATTCACGTCCATGAGCACGATTCCATGGCAGGAGACTGAATCGCTGCACGCGAATCTCACTGCCACCGCCGTGGACGACGTCCCTGTGATGTTTCGGTAGACAATTCCACTCACTTCCACGCCAGAGGTCTGTAAAAGAAGTTGGAAGTGAGATAGAACTAGAACTAGATCTAGAACTAGAAAACAGTAACAGCTTCTATCACCTGATTAAGACAGGGAACGGACGAGTCGCAGTAGTACTGATCGATGATAATGGGATTTGCGACGCCGATCATTCTCACGTTTTGGTACAGGACTCCATACACTTTGCCATGGCCTCCCTGTGATCAACATCGAAAGCTAAGCGATGAAAAAGATGGTGCTTGTGATTAAAGCGGGAGTTACCTGCCAGGACTTGATTCTTAAGCCGTTTGTTGTTCCATTTAAGACGGCCCCGTCTACTACAACAGCACGAACATTCCCAGCCGAGCCATCTTTTCCGAGGCTTCCAATGCTGCATCGAGAAAAAAACGAGTAAGAGAAGGGACAATGTTATACCAGCAGCAAGAACAGCTCGTTACCTTATTCCGTGACCAGGACCGCAGTAGACATTCTTGATGTGAATTCTCGAGCTTCCGGTTTGGATCGAAATGCAGTCATCACCTGGACTCTAGATGCTCAGTGAAAACAACTCTAGCTGGAAATATACGCGAGAACTACTGAACCTGTGGCAATCACGCAATCTTGGATGAATCCGCTTTGCACGTCGTGGAGGTGGATGCCATCTGTGTTCGGGCTTTTCTGCGGTGCGCTGATGTTCAGCCCGATTGCCCGGATGTTTACTCCAGTGTCAAAAACCAGATGCATTTGCTGGCTGTTGACGAAATGCAGATTCCGGACGGTGGTACTATTGCAGCTTTTGATTGTAAGTGCCTGACCAGCAAAACCGTCAGTACTCGAGCATCCAGAAAAGAAAAAAAAAGTTTTTACCTCCGGTGCGGGGTGGCAGGGCTGAAGACAACGACGAAGAGCCAGGTTAAATACGAGCAAGTTGAGAAAAACCAATGAAAAACTACTCACGTTGGAATGATTGCGTTTGCAAGACTGCTCCCACCACGATTCTCCTTGCCCGTCAATTGTTCCAGTTCCTTCCAAAGTGAAGCCATCCAGATGCTGAAACCGCAGCCACTGACGGCGATTTGTGCTGTTCCAGTCGAAAAATCCAGGGGCAACTAGAACACCATCCAGCTGAGAGATTAAAACATTAGCTTCGAGAGAAACAATTGAGAAAATAACGTTCAGAACCTGCACTTTCATTCCCAAACCACAAGGACCCGGAAAAACGGTAGGCTGGAGCAAATAAGTCCCGTTTTCGGGTATGACCATCACCGAGTAGTTTGATTCGCAAGCGGCTGACCAGGCTGCCAAAAATGCCTACAGGAAGAGTGGATGAATTAGAAAAAGAAACGAGAAAATATAAAAGACAACTCGACTTACTGGCGAGCCTGGAGTTCTCTTACCTCAGAATCATCCGAGACGCCATCAGAAAGTGCGCCATAATCCAGCACGTTGTAGAAGGTATAGTTGATTCTCCGCGGAGGATGAGGACGAGGACGCAAAATGTTCCACTGTTCTAGCTCTGCGCATCTGCTCAATGTCCAAAACAGTATTATCATGAGCAAAGAAAGAGAAAGCCTGGCCATGCTCATGCTCGCAAACAGACTGTAATAGTTTCTCCTGTTTTCAATCCAGAAACAAACGAGTCATCACAACAGCGACTCGAGTTTCACAATCACACAAATGCTCGCAACAAGACAAGCTACAAAATGGCGACGAAAAGACGAGCTATATGCATAATGGATGGAAGAGTATGGCTGAATGGATGGAGGAGGGTAGCAGTCAGTTCGAGCGGTCGATGGACGGCACGCAAGCCAATGCTGGGACGGCAAGAATCTGCACGTATGCATGAAACTCTTGTAAGAAGAGAAGAAATACTTACGCGGGTTTTGAGGGTCCACTTTAACAAACACCTGCGAGACGAAAGACTTTCAGAGCTCCAGTATCATAGAAATGAAGCAGATGTACCTTGCGAACGAAGCATAGCTCGCTGCAATGCGATTCCAGCAAGCACATAGCATTCACATGAATCGTCAACTCCAAGGCTGTATATGCACGTCAAGATCATAAACCCGCCACACAACTCTATTTTGCTTGCACTATATGCACGCCTGTGATGATTGCGAATTCATACCATCTTTTCGAACATTCTCAAGCCTTTCACTCGTGCACCACGCAAACACCTTCAAAGCCTGGAGCGAGAACGAGCGATGAGTTCTCTTCTCAAGAGCTTTCCCGTGGCAGACTTTGGTATGGCGTCCAGGAATCGCACTTGTCTGACTCTCTTGTAGGGAGCGACCTGTGCGAAGCAATCTTAGAAACGCATTCTGGTTTTTTGGCCAAACCTGTTTCGAAACAAAATCCACAACTTCCGCTTCGGAGAGAGTGGAATGAGGTACACGAACGACATAAGCAAGGGGGACCTCGCCTGCCTCTTCGTTTGGAAATCTGCAACAGCAATAAATACACCAGTTGAGTGAACAGCTACGTGTGCGTTACTTACGGAACAACAGTGCAGTCTTGGATCGCAGGATGACTCAAAAGCAATGCCTCCAGTTCAGCAGGCGCCACCTACACTCAAGATTTTTTTGTAGTTCACAACGCGTCATCGAGCGGAAATACCTGAAAGCCCTTGTACTTGATCAACTCTTTGAGCCTATCCATGACAAACATGTTTCCATCCGTGTCAAGGAGGACAAGGTCCCCAGTATGCAGCCATCCATCCTTGTCAATGGTCTCGGAAGTTGCTTTGGGATTGTTAAGATATCCTACTCACAGCCAACCAGTGCTTGTTAGATCCAAAAGTTAGAAACGAGAAAGCGAGAAAGGAGACGAGGAACTCACCTTCCATGATGCAACGACCGCGTAAACACAGTTCACCTTGCGAACCAGGAGGGAGAGTTCGACCAGTGCCTACCTCCACAACTTTCGCTTCAAAACCCGGCATGATCTTCCCAGCCGAGCCGACCACAGTATCTTTGGAAGCTCCAAATCCCACTCCCGTCGTCTCCGTCATGCCATAAGCCTGCCACCAAAGTTGTCGAAAGAACAAAACCAAAAACAAAAAAGAGCTGTAAGAACCATGAAAACGAGGAAAAACTCGAAGAATACCTGTGGAAATCGAGCCACCTGTGGATACAAGCGAAGAAAAGCCTCGTGAGTCTCTCTCCCGAGGGGCGCGGCACCACACACCACGCGCGAGAGAGAGCTCAGGTCATACCTCTTGCTCGAGCTATGGTGCTTGATAAACGCAATGATCATTGGAGGGACCGCGGTCATTTGCGTCACCTTGTAGCGCTCGATGGTCTCGAAGATCTCCAGGAGCTCAAACTTTGCGACCACCACCATCGTTGTTCCACTGTAGATCGTGGCCAGTACCCCATAGATCAGTCCAGCGATGTGAAAGAATGGAAGCATTCCGAGCGAGACCTCGTCCTCCGGCACTGGCTCCTTTCGAGCGGTGTAGAGCGTTTCCATGGCCGCGACCAAGTTTCCATGCGATAGAATCACTCCTTTGCTCACGCCAGTCGTCCCGGAGGAGTAGAGCAATGCCGCTGGACTGAGCTTCTTCTTCGCTGGCAAATTCATGGCGCTGGAATTCCCATCGTCCAGCAAATCCTCGTAGGAGACATGGCTGAGAGGAAATCCCGGCTTCCCGACGAGGAGCATCGGCAATCGCAGCTCCTGGATCTTGGAAGCCAAGCTCCCGGACGAGAAGACGAACCTGGCACGAGAATCCGCGACCTGGCGCTGGATGTCCTTGACAGTATTCTGCGGATTCGCCGTCGTCACAGTCGCGCCGAGCGCCAAGACGCCGAGGAAGAGCACCACGAACTCGATGCTGTTGCCCAGGACGATCAGCACGACATCGCCAGGGCAAATCCCGAGCGATACCATGCCTGAGGCGGCCACGGCGACGCTGCGCCTCAGATCACCGTAAGAGATCCTCTGGTTCGTTTTGGAATCAATGAATGCGATCTTGTGTGGGGAGACCCTGCCCCATAGAACTTGTAGAAGAGAGACCGCGTTACTGTCCGCCATAGCCGTGCTTGAAAGAATTAGGGTTCTTAGTTTTTGGATGGAGAGAATGGAGCGTCTACAGCGGATGTTTTCGGGGATGGGAGGAGGAGGCGCTGGCCCGCATCCCGACTCGCCGCTGGTCGATACGTCGGAGCAAGTCTACATCTCATCGCTCGCGCTTCTCAAGATGCTCAAGCACGGTAGGTCCTTGAAAACTTAGATTTCTTGCGGGATTTCGCTTGGATCTTTCCATACCTTGCTGCTCGAGCATGTTTCTAAGCGCAGTGCTTTGCTCGTTCCATGATTTTGCCATGCCATGGTGCTCGATCCCATACTCGTTTCTTAGTTCTTTATTCTTGTTTTTTCCTTTGGTTTGAAACTTAACCTTGCTACTTGGTTTTCCAGGACGAGCTGGTGTGCCAATGGAAGTTATGGGTCTCATGCTAGGTGATTTTGTGGATGAGTACACTGTCCGGGTCATCGATGTTTTCGCGATGCCGCAGAGTGGCACTGGTGTCAGCGTCGAGGCTGTAGATCCAGTTTTCCAGACCAAGATGATGGACATGCTCAAACAAACAGGAAGGTTCTTATCACATTTTTCTTTTCTCTTGTGGGATTCAAGTGTGAAGTTTTTTGCAGATCGGAAATGGTTGTAGGATGGTATCATTCACATCCTGGATTCGGGTGCTGGCTTTCTGGAGTTGATATCAATACTCAACAGGCAAGGAGAAAAAAGTCTAGTCTTTGTTTCACTTTGGATGGAGTTCACAGATATGTTTTGGAACTTGACTTGTGCAGAGCTTTGAAGCATTGAATCAAAGAGCTGTGGCGGTTGTCGTGGATCCAATCCAGAGTGTGAAAGGGAAAGTTGTGATTGATGCCTTCAGGCTTATCAATCCACAGACGATGATGTTGGGACAGGAACCACGGCAGACTACTTCAAACCTTGGACACTTGAATAAGCCTTCTATTCAGGCAAGTCCATTTTCCTTCATTCTCCAGGCTTACATTTGGGAAACGAACAGGCGCTTATCCACGGCCTAAACCGTCACTATTACTCGATCGCTATCAACTACCGCAAAACCGAGCTCGAGGAGAAAATGCTCTTGAACCTCCACAAGAAGACCTGGACGGACGGGCTAGCTCTCCAGCACTTCGACTGCCATTCAAAGACAAACGAGGCAACCATCAATGTAAGCTCCCAGCTGTTTTGAGGTTCATCTCCAGCGCTAACGGGAGCGTTTTCGTTTCTTCTATCCAGGAAATGCTCGATCTTGCCGTGAAATACAACAAAGCAGTCCAAGAGGAGGACAAACTATCCCCGGAGAAGCTGGCCATTGCAAACGTTGGCAGGCAGGACGCCAAGAAACACTTGGAAGATCGCGTGTCCAACCTCATGTCCTCCAACATTGTCCAGACTTTAGGCACCATGCTCGACACTGTGGTGTTCTAAAGCGAGGTAACCAAAAAAACTCTCTTTACTTTCTCGAAACAAAATCCCATCCTAGATGAGACTTACTGATAACAGCATTGAGTTCTTGACTTAAGGAAACAGATGGAACCATGAAGTCTAGAGCTTGAGCTTCGCTTTGCCGGGTTTGAAGCAACGACAGATGGGTGGAATAGATCTGGTGCAGAGGCTGCAGCTTCCACCGTTCAGGCAGTCCGCATCCGAGCAACACTGTGATGCGGCGCTGCATCTTTTCGGATTCGGGGCGTCACAGAAGCAAGTTGGAGGAAAGCTTCGGGTGCAACGTCCACAAAACTGGCCTGCCTTGCTGCATCGCTTGGAGCCGGGGCAGCACTGGGAGTTTGGCCTGCACACCATGGCCTGGAGATTGGCAGCAGAGACTAGATCATCGCGTTGCTCATCACCAGCAAGAGCGGCTGCAAGGCAAGAGAGAGCAAGCAAGAGCAAAACACTACGAAGTTTATCCATAGTTGCCGTGGAGGAGATAGTTGGCCATTATATTCTCGGTGCATCCCACGATTTCCACGCATGACATATTCTTTAAAGTTATTTCTCTTAGTAAATCTATTGGATTTTGACCTCAGCCACTTCAGTAGTGATAGATCTATTGCTATTCTCAGGTTCAGGATTATGTCCACTGACATTCATTGCACCATCCACTGACCATTCCATGGAAAGGTATGCTTCTAGATCCAGATAAATAAAAGCATATTTTAGAATGATTAAGTATATTGCTAAGATTTGGATAGATATCATAAACCCATTTACTTTAAAATTCAAAAGAAAAAGTATGAACAACTTTATTTATTGCCCACTCTTTATGAATTATGAAACACATATGCCTTTTCTAATACACTAATGTTTATAGTACATAAAAAGCACTCATTATTTACTTTCTTTATTTGTTTACTTTGGAATTTTCCAGATACAGGTGAAGTTTTCAATATTGCAAGATGCAACAAAACCTTCATTTTCAACACAAACAGCCATTAGTTGAAATGACTTTTTATAAAAACCATTTGACCATAAAGCTTTTAAATTATCATTGTAAAGAACAAGATTTCCATCTACCTGCATCCTAAGAAAACAATTTTTACCTTGATTTTGTGTATTTGTAGACCATATAATTGTTTTTCCTTTATAAAATACTAAATTGCAATCTAATTGCATATATAACATAAATATCATATTTGGAGATATAATAAATTCCCCAGTTTTTAAATTAGCAAAATAAGAAGTATCTTCTGAGCTTCGGATACAAGTTTTTCGCCATTCACAATCACCTCCTTCATTTTCATAATTTATATGTTGTTCGAATGAAATATTCAAGAGATTATTCCTAAAATTTAGTTCATATATTTTATACTTTTTAAGAACTATATTTAAGATAGTAGAACTTGGTTTTGTATATGTGTACATTATACTAAATCTGCCAACAATATATTCACTTAAACCCCATTTTAAAATTTGACTATCAGCTTTTATAACCTCTCTAAGTATTCTATAGAATATATATTTTAATGATAAACCTGGTCTTGGAGTACCATAGCTAGGGAATAAGCTACACATTGGTATGTAATACCAAGGAACTGGACGATCTAAAGATGTTATTATTACAGTAACTCCAGTGATGATATCAGCAAATCTACGTTCAAACACTGGATAATAAGGAGTTTCATCTCCAATCATTTTTATAGCTTCCAGTATAGCAGAAAAGATGAAATAACGCACTTCATCAGGAAGAGGAACAACCTGTTCATGATCTCGCTTGATCTCGAGTGAAATACATGTATTAAACAAAATACAAGTAATCAAAACTAACACTATTAAAGACATTTCATTTTATCTTTTACTCCTTTAATCTTGTTACAGAATTAAAGGACAAGTGAACAAACCTTGCATACTGATGATTTGGATTCTACTTTATTATTTTCATCTATTTTGTTTACATATATACAAGATATCCATAAGGCATTTAGCATATGTCAAAAAACAAAAAATGTTATTTTCTATAGAGACAATGCCGTGGCGGAAAAAGATGCAAAACAGATATTAATAATACTTACAATATGAATCCACCATTATGTCTGTTTTGCAAGCAAAGATATGGTCATACATGGTAGAGACCAGAGTCAGTTATTTTGCAAGAGCGATGCGGTCAAACGTGGTCAGGCAGAAGGATCAGCCCAAGTCCCTCACACAAGGAAAGAAACAACCATTGGTATTGATCTAATCTTAGGTGAATATTGACTATGCAGCAAAGGGCCATGACGAGCTGCTTGGCCACCAGCAAAAACTGAACAAACTTATAGCAGTTAAGTACAAGGTCTTTGTATGAGATCCTCATGAACCATAAAACACCATAAGTTGGCCATCCCTTCATGGTAGTTATCACCTTCATTGTTTATCTAAAAATAGTGTCAATTATCCAAATAGCAACAGCTGGTTGTTTGCCTGTCTTTGCCATGTCCGTTTTGCAAGCCCAGATGCGGTCAAACACGGTCAGAGAAACAGGGTCAACTAAGGTCAAAAGACAATGCAGCTGGCTGCTTTGTTTTTTAAACTGTAAACGGGGTCTTTTGGTTGCTTTTGTTTGGTGGTGTTTTCAGACTCATCAGTTAGGGAAGCCATCTCACAGAAGGCCCCGAGAGAGCGCAAGAGAGCAAGAGGCAACATGGGAGCTCGCAAGGTACGAGTAATGTAGGACTCCCACACATCGATTTAATCTCGTAATCCCCGGATGGATGCAAATTCCCCCAAAACACCAGATGGTCGTCAAGGTGAACATCCCCTGCGCAAAATGCCGCGACAAGCTGCTCGGCCAGATCTCCGCTGTGTCAGGTAACTAAAGCACCACACTCTTGGATCTGGAGCAATTTCTCCGAGTCTATCCTCTCTCTCTCTCTCTCACCACTTTGCCCCTTTCTTCTCTGTGCGTGCTCCATTGTCGCGCAGGCGTCAAGAAGGTGGAATCCACCACCGAGTGCTGCCCAGTCTTCACCATCGTCGGCGACTTCAAGGTGGAGGACATCTTAAACGCGGCGGGGAAGAAGCGGCGGTGCCTCAAGGTGGAGTCCGTGGAGGAGCTCCCACCACCGCCAAAGCCCAAGCCCGAGCCCAAGCCGGAGCCCAAGCCGGAGCCCAAGCCCGACCCGCCAAAGGCCCCGCCAAAGGAGATTATCATCAGCGAGAAAGGTTGGCCAAAGAAGTTGCCAAACGTTCCTCCCGGTACCAGCCTTGTGATCGTGGTGGAGAACTTGAGCTTGTGCCCCAAGGATTTCGACCACCATGGCGGCGGTGGCCATGGCTGCGAGTGCTGCGATAGCTGCTGCTAAGCCACCATAGTCTCTCTAGTTCTTCCTTTCGTACGCTGGACCGCGCAGTATAGCTATGGAGGCTGGCTCTTCTTCTCGCATCCATTTCGCGAGTACGATATGTCGTGCTTGTTTTGCTCTTCCGGGTTCTCCTCTCCTTCTCGGAAGTGGTGTCGGGAATAATAATCGCGTGTTAGAAAATGTGGTGGAGAGAATTCATACCAGAGTGACTTCTTTTCACTCCCTCCCGGTCACGATCTGTGAATCTTATAATTCTTTGGTTCTTTCCTCTTTGTTGGTTTCTCGCCTTTTTCTCTAATGCCCGCCATGGCCCGTCGCGGGGCGGCACGCCTCGTAGAGATTGTCAGCCAAGCATTTGACGTTTTGATCGCCCACAAAGACAATGTGCCGGATATATAAGTTTCAATATGTTGGTCGGTGCTGTTTTTTTTCGTCCAAACTCATTAAAGTTGGCCGCAATGTATATGAGTTGTTTTTTGATTTTGTGTGCAATCTCACCATACAGTTGGACGAGTCAGATAAATAAAAATCATGAAATCTTCTTTCTCCCTGAAAGATGGCAATGGCATATTCCAAGGCGGAAGCACAGCGACACACGTCTCCTCCACCCGTCCGAAGATCAAGCTACCGAAAGTATAAGTTCTGGCAGAGCGTATGAAATCTACGTATACTTACGAGACATGACTTTGACGTGACAATCGCCTCATCCATCGAGAAAGAAACCGAGTAACAGAAGTTTGTTTCCACTCTGATTCATCTAAACTAAGAACCGATGAACTGAGACTAACCTTAAGTTGCGATCAATCGGGTGACAATCCAGACCTTCGCATCCCACTGCGCGAATTGTTCTCGTCGGACCATCTCTCGTCCATCTTCTTCACTCGGCAGTCTTGCTCCCAGTGTCCACTCTTCCCGCAATAGCTGCAATTCCCGGGCTTCTTCTTCCCCCACAGATTCACGCCTCGCTCATCGCCCGTCCGGCGATAGCCCCGCCAGCTCGAGTTGTCTCTCATCACCTGATCAAACTCCCCGAATGCAAACCCCGGGCAACTCCTGTTGGATCGAATCCAGTCCAGAGAGCCCACATTCTTCCCACAATCCGGGAACTTGGCCAACATGGCAGCCAAAGCACCGAGCTTCCCCCGAGCCACTCCAGCAGCCATGGATTCCCTTCATCCAAACACCAAGCAAGGAACTGGGCGATCTAGAATCCCGATCTAAAGCTCACCAGTGGCGCTTCCTTCGCCAAAATGTAGCCCTAGAAGTTGCACAATTCTGGAGTTCGAATCTTGTGAGCACTCTCCGACAGTATCTGCTTTTTTTTTGTCGGTCAGCGCCAGTCAGACGTCAGTCCACTCAAGTCAGAGACGACTTACAAGAGAGAGAAGCTCTCATTGTATATGAGCTGTGCATCTTCTAGGGTCCCAGCCGGAGCGTGGAGTGCTTCTCTCCGCAACGATGTCTCGAAAGGTATGAATTCGCAGTGCCCGGCAACTCAAATTCTGGTTTTTCCCCCAAAATCAACACCCACAGGCCGTCTTGAAAGTCGATCTTTGTGGAAAATGCAAGGACAATCTCTTGAAAAAGCTGTCCGAAGTCCCAGGTATCATCTCCCATCGCTCGGATTCTGATCTCTCCTTTGTCCTCTTGAATTTGCAGGAGTCGCGAAGGCCGAGGCTACCGGCGACCACCAATTCACCCTCACGGGTGACTTCAAGATCGAGGACATCAACGCCGCCATAGCCAGCAAGAAGCGTTGCGTCTCCATCGAATCCGTGCAAGAGATCCCCAAGCCTGATCCACCAAAGCCGGATCCACCAAAGCCACCACCCGAGGTCGTGTGCCCAAACACGATTGTCATCCACACCAAGAATCTCGTCTTCTGTTTCCACGGCCGCAACATCGGCTGCCCCTGGGATCGCTGCTCGGATCGCTGCTGCAGCTGCTAGATTCTCCTCCTCCCAGGAATTCCTCCCTGGAATCCTTCCCTCCGGGCTGGAAAGGCCAAGAAATCCATCAACAAAGGGAGGAGAAAATCACAAAAAAAGCAGAAAAAATCAAGCACATAACTTGTGGATGTTCGCCTTGGATCGGCGCGCGACAAATTTACGATGGAGATGCCACTGGCACACGGTTGGTGTTTTCGAAATCCACAAAAAAAAAAAAGCAAAAAAGGAGTTTGAAGCTTAATCTTGAAACTCAGCTATTTTTCTTAGAGCTTGATCAACTATTTGGATCAACTTTCACAAGATTTCTTCCTGGGATCGACACAATATGTATTGTTGCCAGCGATCTCAAGGTTATAATAAGACTTGGGCGATTCGATCCATCGCATGTCACCGTTTATTTCTTCATGTTTTCTACGTCCCACTTGGGCTAATTCTCAAAGCTTAGCTCTCTACCAAACAAAAGCAGCGCACATGTGACAATGGGATCCACCAAAGAAGTTGTAGCTTTCATTTTTAGCTGGCTGCCACCGAAGAGTATGTTTTCCTTTAATCTCTCTTTTTATTATAATTTTTCAGAAAAAGGTGATAAAAGTACATGACATCATCTAACTTTTTCTTAATATGAGTTTGAATGGAAAAAGTTGTGCTCTCACTTTGGGGGAATGAAACTGAGAAAGGCTTTCCAGACAATGACCTATACAGTCATGTTTAAAATGAGCTCTAGAGGTTGGGAAGTCAATGTTACTCCTGGTTTTTTCTCATTGGTTCCTTCTCATGGTTTTGCTATAAAATTTTTGCTGTTTGGTCCTTGTTTCTCATGGTTTGATAAATATCTTGCACCTTTCATTTGCTACTCAGAAGAAAGCTCGAGTTTAACACAAGTTCTCTTGCGCAACAATGAATTGGAAAGTATGGCTGTGAATTCTATAGTCTCTCTGGGATGATACTCAATCAGAATCTATGTTGGTTTTTCTAGGCCATCGTCAAGATTCACGACTTCTGCTGGAGGGACAGCGTCGCGGGACAAATCTACGACAATCTCCCTGGTAATTTCTCCGGTACACACACCCAAACTACGTGCAAAATCTTTGATCCCTCGAAATCGCAGGCGTGATGAGGATGGAACTAAGTGGCTCCCAAGTGACTTACACGGGAGGCTTCAAGAAAGAGGATTTTCTAAAACAACTGGACGAGCACAAGAAATGCGCGAGTGTGGTGTCTTTGGCACCGATTGTCCAGCCGCCACCACCGCCACCGCCATGTAAATGCTGCTAGAAAGATAGATCGATCCAGCAAGAGATCACTCCACCCTAGAAGCTTATCGCCCATCAGTGGCGCTGTTAGTTCTATAGATCCACGGGAGTGATTTAGCGACTGTGTAAATAACCAAAGATTTCCAAACTACGTGCTTCGTGCTTCAAGACAGACTCGCCTTCAATCCTGGCCATTGGCCAACTTTGTTACGTTCTAATCGATACTTATCATGGCTAATTGGTGATAAGCAAATAATATACCACCACCAGGGAGTCAAGGCTTTGTTCTTGGTGGCTATGGCGGATGATAGCCAGGGCAGTGGCTACCGGGAATGCGATGGGATCTACGCCAGTCTCGCGTCGCCGGTGGCAATGCCGCTCCATCCCCATCTGGATTTCGTCTCCTACATGTTCTCGCAGCGATTTGGGAGGCCCGAGAGCGCCAGCAATGTCGCGATCGTGGATGGGAAATCCGGTCAGTCGCTCACTTGCTCGCAGCTGCGCCGATCGATCGAGGCGGTGGCGACAGGGCTGCACGAATCCGGCATCCGCCAGGGCGACGTTGTCATGATCTTGCTGCCCAACAGCCTCGAGTTCCCGGTCATGTTTAACGCGGCGCTGCGCATTGGCGCGGTCGTGACGACGATGAATCCCCAGAACACGCCCGCCGAGATCGCGCGCCAGATGCTGGATTCGCGTCCCAAGATGGTGCTCACGAATCGCGCCGGGGTCGATAAGGTGAGAGCCGCTTCCCCGGATCTCCCAATCGTGCTCGTGGACGAGGAAGAACGCGAAGAACACGGAAGAACTCTAAACAGTGATGAGAAAAAGCCCCAATTCATCCCATTCTCTCGATTCCTCGCCTCGGATCCCGACCAGCGACCACGCAATCGATGCCTCATCCGCCAGAGCGATCCGGCAGCGCTGCTCTACTCGTCGGGCACCACCGGATTGAGCAAGGGCGTGGTGATCTCCCATGGAAACCTTATCGCCGCCATGGCCGTCCAGAACCAAGTGCCCGAGGAGATGGATCGCGGCGACACGAATGTGGTGCTCTTCCCGATGTATCACATCGGCGGATTGATGTGGCTCTGCTGTGGAGCGATCATGGGCGGCCCGACGTTCGTGCTGCTGCAGCGCTATGGATTGGCGGATCTGCTGCGCGCGGTGGAGCGGCACGGCGCCAACAAGATCACGTCCGCGCCGCCCGTCGCGCTGGATTTGCTCCACAGCGCCGAGACCGCACGCTACGATCTGCGATCGCTGAGAGCGCTCATCTGCGCCGCCGCGCCGCTGAGCAAGGAGACGATCCAGGGCCTGATGATCAAGTTCCCCCACTTGGAGATGTTCATCCAGGTTTGAAGAATTCGTTGACTAACCGACAGTCCGTTGACTTGCGGTCATTGACCAACAGTTATGCTTGACTAACAGTCCTTTGACTAAATTGACTTTCTTCGGTTTTTTGTAGATGTATGGAATGACCGAGACTGTGACCGTGGGAAGCGGTGGAAGGGGCGTTATGGGATCTTCCGGGAGGCTAAATGCCACGCTGGAGGCTATGGTTGTGGACCTGGAGACCCGGAAATCACTGCCTCCTAATCAAAGAGGAGAGCTTTGGCTTCGAGGGCCACCAATCATGCAAGGTAAGTATAATTCTTATGGTCTTATGGTTTCATCTATGATTTCTCTATGGTTTGCATAGTCTTTGATTTTACAAATTTATTGAACTTGCAGGCTATTTGAACAATCCAGTGGCCACCGCAGAGGCGATCGACAGTGAGGGCTGGCTACACACGGGAGATCTCGTGTATTTTGATTCCAAGGGGTATTTATACATCGTAGACCGTCTCAAGGAGTTGATTAAGTACAAGGGATACCAGGTATTTACTTGTAAAGACATATCTCATAGCGAGAGAATTAACCTTGCTTTGCTTTCAAGGTTGCACCAGCAGAGCTAGAAGCACTACTGCTCACACATCCGGCCATAGTGGACTGTGCGGTAGTACCGTAAGTTTTACCAGCTTTCTTGTACATTGTTTTTACCCATTTTCTACAACTTTTTTACCTCGTAGGTTTCCAGATGAAGTGGCTGGAGAGATTCCACAAGCGTTTATCGTTAGGGCTCGAGACAATAGCATTTCTAGCGAAGAAGTCATGCGTTACGTAGCAGACCAAGTAAGAGATCTCTTTGATTTTAACTCGAAAACAATCTTACAATTGTCTCTATGATCAAGGTGGCTCCGTACAAGAGAATCAGAAGAGTATCTTTCCTGGATAAGATTCCCAAGTCCGCCGCTGGTAAAATTCTTCGCAACGAGCTCAAGAAGGCGGCAAGCAAACTATAACACACACACATATACGTTTTTTTTAACGGTGTCCGATTGTGCCAAGTCTCACAATCGGACGGCGTACAAGCTCTAACAAAACGCGTGGATTTCTTCGTTTACCCATTAGGGTTCTAGCGAAGGGATTTTGATGCTCCGGACGGATCTAGATGCCCTACATTGAGGGAATCGGTGACGAGGTAGTCCTAGCGGCAGTGTTTGCCGCGCCGGCTGTGATCGTCTACTGCTCTTCAGCTGGGTAAGACGGCCAGTAATTCTCGCGGGATATCTAGTTTTCTGGATCGATCGTCGATTGCAGTGTGTTTGCTCGACTGAGAAAGGGATTGCAGTCCCTAGGGGTGTGGATCGTCCAAATTTTCCAGATTTCGACAGCACCGCCGCCGCTAGATCATCCGCCTATTACCATGGAGGCTCCGGACGAGAACGATTGCTGCTCGGTTTGCCACGATACTTTCATGCTCCCTTGCCAAGCGAACTGTGCTCATTGGTTTTGTGGTAAGCTATACATTTTTTTTGTGTGTGTGTGTTCTTTTGAGTCTCAGGAACTTTGATGGATTTCTTTTTTCTTTTTCTTTCTTCCAGGGGAATGCATTCTCAGAGTCTGGCAACACAGTGCTGCTTTACAGCCTTGCAAATGCCCGATTTGTCGCAGGACGATCAATCTTTTGATCCCGGGACGTGAGTATCAAGAGCGAAACCGAGATGCCGAGTCCGAGCGTTTGCTAAGAGAAATCTCAAAGTATAACCGGCTGTTTGGAGGAGCACCTTCCAGCGTGATTCAGGTAGAAGAACACGGTTTCTTACATTCATTGACGAGTTGGTTTACAGCGTTTAAGAGACATGCCTTTGCTTTTGAGGCGTTTCTTTCGAGATCTTTTGGACCCTCAGCGAGCGCTTCTTATTTTACACAGAACACGCTTCATCCTAGTGGTAAACACACAGTCAAGAAAAAGACTTTGTAGCCTAATGTGCTCTTCTCAGGTTTTCTTATCAATGTGCTACGTGCTTTCGCCCATCGATCTTCTTCCAGAAGGTAATGTAACGGATCTCTTGGAAAGCTTGTTATTGAAATCTCTACCTGTGACGCAGCCGTTTTGGGATTAATCGGCCTCGTCGACGATGCTCTGGTTGTGTTCTTCGCTCTCTTCCAAGTTTCCATGATCTACAGGCGTTTTCTCGTTCGGCAACATGGGAATTACAGCTAAGTTTAGGCCTTTGCTTGCTCTTGCCAAATTTGTGTAGGTGTTGCAAATTAATTGCAAGAAACAGCGTTTGAAAGAGAAGCTTCTCATCTTTTCTTCAAGCGAGTCTCGATTGTTATGGAATTTTAAGTTATTTTTGGATAATTTTGTTTTACCCTTATAAAATAACAGCGACTACAACTCTTAAGGTTTTAAGACTTCAAGTATATTGTAAAAGATTCTTTACTTTAATCTTTTTCTCTAATTAAAAATTTAACATTAATCATTTTAGTTATCATTAATATAAATCATAGTTACCATCCAAAGATTGTTTCATGGTTTATCAAGAGTTCATCCTTGCCATGGAGCTGAAAAACATATGCTTTAAGTGTGTGAGCAAGCTTTCTCTCACTCTTCCTTTAACAAGTGTGATGGGAAGACTAATAATTATACCTAGACTTTGGCATTCTCTGATGTTTACAATCTAACTCTTCACACAGGCAAAGAGTAATCTTAATAAAAATCACACAATATTTTTCACTAGCAAAGCCTATTCTAAAGCTTTTACCACAAAAAGCTCTCGCATCCATGAGTAGCTTTGCCACAATATATGTGAAAGATTGCCATGTAAAATTATCATGCTTTATCTATTGTGTTTTTGTTTGTCAAAAGCTTCCTTTGTATCAAGAGTGGTTAACACCTTTTATACAAGCTAATATAGTGAGCTGGGATAGAATATTTTAAATACCGCTTTAAAGAATTATATTATAGAATATTCTTTTATATTAAAGTTTTTTAAAATTGTAAATTTTTAATTTTTATTTATTTAAAATAAAACTATAACTCTCCCTTTAACCTAATGGCAATTGCTTGATGAATCCCTTGAATCCACAATAACAATATATCCAAATGATCACATGCATTACAAAATCCTAAAGGACAAGATCACTTTTCTTAAAAAGGGTAAAGAACCAAGAAATAATAATAAAATATTTGATCAATCCCAAGATAATTGTTGTCACGCTCCGGTCTTGCACGCGATCTAATTCATATCTATTGACGGCTTTGTACAGGAGAGTCGGGGACGAGGATGAACTGAGAAGATCGCGACCCCGGCAAGAACAAAAAGGAGAAATGCCTTCAAGACTGGAACTAAAATCTGGTGCGCTCCCGGAGAGGTCCCATACGCGGCGCCTTGAAAACTGGAAATCCTGCTGGTATCGGCGCCCTCTTTGCTCTCCAGAGGAGCTCCAAAGTGCTTACCAACGTCCTGTTCCGGTGGCTGGAGAGAATAAATCGTCGTGGACGTGTATGTCAAGGTTGTCGTTGTTCAAATAGTTCGACACGCCTAAAGGAAACGCTCGTATTTCCTAGAACAGTTTAAACAAATACGGAAGATCAATTAAGAAACATCACCGAGTAAACAACTCGAGAAACCACGAGAACAACCACACACACACAAGCTTTCGACAGCTTTGTACCATACCAATCCAGAAAGAAAGAAGAAAACCTCCATACAGTCACCATCCACGAAAACGTTCAAAGAATCCTCACAAGTGACAAACTATAAAACTTTCACAAAGAAACAAAGAACCATAGAACAAAAGCAAGAACCGCGATATCTGGTTGGAGAGCTCGACCTTCCAAGCCTTGGCAGGGGATGGAGTAGCCTTCGCAGGCTCGTGTTTGAGGTCGATGGTGTCTTCGTTCCTACTCAACAAAGGAGAGCATGGAGTGTTTGTGACGACGGAAGGCCGACTCTTGCCTTACACAAGCCCCGCAACGAACGAAGTCAAGAAATCTAAATACGTACCACATAGCAATCGAAAGACTATGGACTTTGTGCTTGCCTTGATCCACCAGCATGAGCTCAAACAGCGCTGGAACGTTAGTGCCGTCGCTGGCGAGCGCCATAGAGAGAATCGTCGTCCATCGCAACAAGCCAGCGAATATCCATTGATCGTGAAATGATACGCACTGCGCGATCTAGCTTCCTGCTGTAATGCAACTGCTGGAGGCCGTGCCATAGAAATCCAAGCTCATCCTTCCTCCAGCCTCACCGACATTGAGAAGTTGCGACATTGAGAAGTGAAAGAAACCCGCGAAATTCCTGGAAATATCTTCAGCCGCGAGAGAATCGAGCGCCAACGCCGCACGGCTCAGCGCATGATGATCCACCGTCGATTCTATGGACGGTCCGGATCCAAGAGCCCTGTGAGGTACGAAACTTTTAGGGCGGCCAGACCCTTTAGCTTAGGAGAAATTAATTTTAGGGTTTATAGGCCCCGGATCGGCGCGGATCGTCAATCGGCCATGGCGGAATTCGCCGAGATCGAGGCCGCGGATGGGATCCGGATGTCCTGGAACGTATGGCCGAGCAGCCGCGTGGAGATGGCCAGGTGCGTAGTCCCCCCCGCCGCCGTGATCTCGCCGCTCCAGCCCCTCGCGCAACCCGAGGCGGTGCTCCAGTACCCGCCGCTGCGCTGCCGGACGTGCCGCGCCATCCTCAATCCCTTCTGCAGCGTGGATTTCGCGGGCAAGATCTGGGTGTGCCCCTTTGATTTCTCGCGCAACCAGTTCCCGCCCCATTACAGCGAGCTGTCCGAGAGCTATCTTCCTGGCGAGCTCTACCAGCAGTTCACCACGATCGAGTACGCGCCTCCGGGCGATCGAGGGCTGCCGCCGCTCTTCCTCTTCGTCCTTGACACTTGTTTGGTGGAGGAGGAGCTCACTTTCTTGCGGACGTCGCTCATCCAGGCCATCGCGCTAGTTCCTCCCAATGCAATGGTGGGACTTATCACGTTTGGGACACACGTCCACGTCCACGAGCTCGGGTTTTCGGCCTGTGCCAAGAGCTACGTGTTTAAAGGCTCGAAAGAGGTGACCAAGGAACAGATATTGGACCAGCTCGGGCTCGTTTCTTTCCACCACAAGAGCGCGGGTGTGATTGCCGGGCCCAAGGATGGACTCTCCGCCAGCAGCATCAACAGGTTTTTGCTTCCTGCTTCCGACTGTGAATTCACTCTATCAGCAGTATGTTTTTCTCATTTTGTTTATTTCTCTTTTCTTTGCTAGTTTTCTGTTCGCTGGGATCGATCTCTAACGCAAAGTTTTTGGCTGCGCAGTTGCTCGAGGAGCTACAAAAGGATGCTTTTTCGGTTGCGTCGGATAAGAGAGCTTCCAGATGCACCGGTACTGCGCTGAATGTCGCCGCTGGGCTGCTCAATGCTTGTGTCCCTGGCACGGGTGCTAGAATTATGGCCTTTGTTGGCGGTCCATGTACCGAGGGGCCTGGAATGGTAACGTTTTTTTCCCTTCGAAATCTTGCTGTAACAATTGTAAAATGCGCAGATCGTTGGTAGCGAACTATCGGAACCAATTCGTTCGCACAAGGATATTGCAAAAGACGCAGTGCCTTACTTTCACAAAGCCATCAAGTTCTACGAGGGATTAGCCAGTCAGCTCGTAAACCAAGGCCACGTACTTGATGTTTTTGCTTGCTCACTCGATCAGGTATATAGCCTTTCTTTGTTTTTGGCGTATTGCTGATGATATGTACTGCTAGGTGGGATTGGCAGAGATGAAGGTGGCTATTGAAAGAAGCGGGGGCCTTGTCGTCTTGGCAGAAAGTTTTGGCCATATGGTTTTCAAGGAGTCCTTGAAGCGTTTATTCGAGGAAGGGGCTAGTTCGCTTGGCCTGTCTTTCAAGTACGTGATGACAGACTTCCATGAACAAGATGTGATTTCTCGCCTTGCAGTGGGATCTTCGAAATATCATGCTCTAAGGAAGTGAAGGTTCAAGGAATTATTGGTCCGTGCTCGTCAATGGAAAGGGTTGGTTCGTTCTTTTTGCGAAAATGTAGTGCTAAAAATTTTTTCGGTGCAGAAAGGACCCTCGGTTGCCGATACTGTTATCGGACAAGGAAACACTACAGCTTGGAGAATGTCTGGACTAGACAAGAACACGGCGTTGACAGTGTTTTTCGATGTAGCCTCCCCGACTACACAAGAAGCATCCAAAAGCTTCTACTTACAGTTCGTTACAAGTTACCAGCACAGTGATGGCCAAACGAGATATCGGGTTACCACTGTTACCAGGGCGATGGTAGACGGTGCTATAAACACAGAGGTATTTCGAAAAATCTTGTTTGTCATGGTTCTCAAGCTATTGGACAATGGTGTAGAGTCTCCAAGAAGGTTTCGATCAGGAGGCAGCAGCAGTCATCGTGGCAAAGCTAGCTTGCCATCGAATGGAGGCTGAGGTAGTTACTGCTGCATTGTAATTTCTCGGAGCTTACTTGTTTTTTTTTCTTTATTTTGTAGGACGAATTTAATCCCAGTCGATGGCTTGATAGGTTATTGATTCGACTATGCTCTAGATTTGGTGACTATCGGAAAGATGATGCGAGCTCTTTCCGTCTGAGCTCTAAACTCTCGCTCTTTCCCCAGTTTATGTTTAATCTTCGGCGATCTCAATTTGTTCAGGTTAGTCACCCCACACTTGCATCATTTGTTCGTGTCTCAAGTGCTGTTTTCCAGGTTTTTAACAATAGTCCAGACGAGACTGCGCACTTCAGAATCCTTTTAGACAGAGAAACAGTGACGAATTCCCTGTTGATGATTCAACCGTCTCTCGTGTCGTATTCCATGAGCGCTCCACCTTCGCCAGCGCTACTGGATGTGGCGGCCATTGCCGCTGATCGTATCCTTCTCCTGGATGCGTACTTTAGTGTGGTTATATTCCACGGAATGACGATTGCACAGTGGCGAAATTTGGGATACCAAAACCAACCTGAATACAAGGTTAGAGGGGTCCTTTTTTCTTATTTTCTTCTCTAACGGGTTAAGCTTTAGGATTTTGCGGACCTTCTTCAAGCTCCTCACACTGATGCGGAAGCAATTTCGAAGGAAAGGTTCCCCGTTCCACGCCTTGTCGTCTGTGACCAACATGGTTCTCAGGTAAAAACTGTTTGTGGCTTTTGATGGATTCAATATTTCTTGTTGTGTTTCAGGCCCGATTTTTGCTAGCACGGCTGAATCCATCGGCTACATACAACAGCGCACCGGCTGGTGCCGAGCTTATATTCACGGACGACGTGAGCCTTCAAGTTTTTCTCGAGCATCTTCAAAGGCTGGCGGTGGTTGCGCAGAATTGATGCGATTCATTTGCTGAAATAAAAGTTCTTATTTTACCTCCGACCACCATGGTTCCCTTTTTCAATCTCCATATACAAAAGACTAGAGATCCATTGCATTGTACAGTTGGGATCCAAGACCCCAAAAATATGTATTATTATTCATTCATTAGTCTTATAAAGTTTTGCAGCACTCACTCTAATTAGATTGCCTGAGTACTCAACTTTCAGAAGATTAACTGGCTATGCCATAACATGAGATATTAGTATTTTTTATTTCAAAAACTAATTCCCTGAGTGAGGGCTCAATTGCCTCCTGATTCATATTTCTTAATACAAATGCAACACTCTACCATAGTTGATTTGAAGTCCATATTATATTGTTCTTTTCATCTGTTACAATTGCTTGTTAAACTTATGCTAGAGGACATTTACATCCAGCACAAGCTGCAAGCATTTAGCTTGGAAACAAGTGGTGGCTTTTGTGAAGGCCTAAAGATGTTCGTACTAAGACAAATTGGTATGCAATGACTCCATATCCCTCATGTATGAGCATGGTTAATGCTACAAAATATGCTATCTACAACACATTCATCAACTTAGTTGGTTGATGTCAAAGGGATTGGAAAAGGGAAGAACAAAACAATACAAAAACATAGGAGGAAATAGTGGGGAAATAAAAGTAACGGAAGCAAAGGTAGAAGTAAAGGGATGAAGAGGTACAGAAGTGAGAGGAATGGATGAAACATAAGGAAGTATGAGATAAAAGGGAGAAGCCTCAAAGTCACATTTGGCATGATTGTGCTGCAACTAATCTATACCAAGAATGAGGTCAAAAGCTTGACTCGGTACCACCCGCAATGATTGCAACTCAAACTCGAGATCACCCACATGCACAAACCAGGTCTGCCTCATCCCGTGCACATACATATGTATGGCTCTTGCCATAAAAAATGAAAACTGGTTCCGCTGCACGACGCAAGTGTAGACGGCAACGTGTGGCAACAGGTCGAGCAATAGAAGATAAACTCGAACCTGTATCAACCAACATGAAGAGAATAATAAAAGACCTTTTGTTATAAAAATGAGTTTGGAAAGTAAACACTAGATGAACTGGTGCCAAGTGAACCCCTTGATGATACTCCCGAAAGAAAGATGGAGGGGTCATTGACTTATTTGCGCAAGGTTCCTCTATTATTCGCGCGACTCCTTGTTTCCCAAATGTATCTCGGTGTCTAGACCTTCCACTGCAGCAGCACCAATAGGACATTGTTGATGCCAAGGTCTCCACCTAAGAAATGGAGGTTGCTAACAACGCTGACAATGCCGATAAGTATGACCAACTTCATCACACACCTAGCAGCAAACATCACGGCCACGACCACGTCCTCATCCTTGTCCTTGGACTCGAACATCAGCAGCATCAACTTCCATTGGAATAGGACCATCGCCCATAAGAAGTGGAGCTGAAGGATATGCAACGAGAAGTGGAAGAGGCAACATCTCATAACGTTGTGCCAAACGAAGAGCATCGTCAAGGGTGGTGGGAGCAAGTGCATGCACAAGTCTAACAAAATCTTGACGAAGTGCTAGCCACAACATTCCAAGCTTGATCCGCTCTGACATATTTGGCTCCGCACAAAGCAAAAGACTTCGGAAATGAATGCCAAATTTTATCACCAACTTAGATGTCCTTTGGCGAAAACAATGCAATTGTTAAAAAGGCATCATCATAGTGTAAGGAACCAACTCGCCGAGGTGTCGTAGGCTAAAGGAACCCCGAAAACATGACCAAAATGACAAAGAGTTCATCGGATGGGACCAAGTCGAAGATCGAGTCCAAGACCGACTCTAGGACCGAGTTCGAGATAGAGTCCGGAATCGAGTTCGAGACTGACTCGGGGACCGAGTTCGAGTCCGAGTTTGAGACCGAGTTCGAGACGGAGTCCGAGATCCGAAATCGGGTCTGAGACCGAGTTCGAGGTCGAGTCCGAGGTCGGGTCCGAGATCGGGTCCGAGATAGAGTCCGAGATCGAGTCCGAGACCAAATCCGAAGTCGGATCCGAAATCGGGTCCGAGATCAAGCCAGAGACTAAGTCCAAATACTAATACGGGTCAAGGGGTGAAAGCCCAAAGCGTGCGTCTCCCAGGGGGGGGGGGGGGGGGCTGCAGGGGGTTCCAAAAGTATAGTAGGGATAGTGAGGTCCAAGAACCAGTTTTGAAGGGACTCTCCAGTGGGGCTTCCAAACCGACTTGAGGTTGAGATTGGGACCGAGAGGCCTTGGGTGGGAGTGAGCATGGACTTGGTTGGTGCCGGAGGGGCCATCCAAGGAAGTGCTCAAGAGCAGCTCCCACTCCCGAAAGGGAAACCGATTGCGGTGCTCCCGGCTCATGTGGAGTGGTGCCCCACTTGAGTACCATGCGGCTCATTGGTCCTCGCCCTTCCTAGGGGCTTGGGGGGGGGGGTAGAGGTACCCATACCGGGCCGCTAGGCCACGGTGTTTCGCCCCGGCGTCCCGAAGTAAGTGTTGCACTCAAGACTTGGGATTTAGAGGGTCCCATGATCAAGTCTTGTGGTACCAAGGGATGTTAGGAACCTGGAAGCTTGGTGTGCTTGGCTGCTTGTGCTTGCGGGGAGTGTAGCCGAACCTTAAGTCCAGTCTAACCCGGGGAGGGGGATTGGGAGTGATTTGGGAATCCGTGGATGGATGGCTAACACTCCATTGCTCGTGCAGTGAGTAGCTGAGACCAAGTAGGAGCTGGTACCATAGGCGAGAACCTTGGCAAGGGAACTTAGCAAAAGCCAAGGCAGTGTTGGACGGGTAGACAAGGTAAGCTGGCAAATTATAAAGGAAAAATTTGTGGCTTACAATTTGGTATCGGAGCCTTTTCCTCAGTTCTAGCGAAGGATAGAGGCGGATTGCTGGGAGATGGCAAAGGCGGGGCGCAAACGAACCAAGGCGGAGACGGAACCTTCGCCAGAGCTGGAGCCTCCGGTCGAACAAGAGGCTATGGATGAGGAATCCTTGCATGAGGATGACTCCAGCGAGGAAACTTCCAAGCAGGAGTCTGGTGGCGAGGTTCGGTCGTCCAAGGCTCGATTGGATGTTCTAGAAGGACAGTTGGCACAGACCAATGCCCTGCTAGAGACTCTCGTATGCAAGCTAAAGCGTGACGAGAAGCGGAAGAAAAAGAGAAAGACTGCGGATGCTGGCAGCGCAGAAGGTGCGGACCCTTCGGCAGGGACTGAGGCAGAACCAAACAAGGTCGAATAGACCGAAGTGGAATCAGTCCCTCAGGCAGTTCCCAAGTACAAACCAAAGCCCCCACCGGTCTTCAAGGGAGTGAATGACTATAAGGTGGTGGAGGATTGGTTTTACGATATGGAGGACTACTTCCGAGCGTTGCGATTACCGAGCTCGAAGAAGGTCCCATGTGCAAAACCATACTTGGCAGATAATGCCAAGTCTTGGTGGAGAATGACGGAGGCCAATGAAGGACCAGTGGCCACTTGGGACATGATGAAGGCGAGGATCCGCGCAACATACGTTCCTTCGAATGCCACTCTGCATCTTAGAGATGAGCTGAGTAGGCTGAAGCAGACTGGAACCATCCAGGAATATGTGAATGGGTTCATGGCAAAGAGGATACTTGTCACGGACATGGGGGATATGGATGCGTTCCATGCCTTCATATCAGGTTTGCAAACCTGGGCTCGCGGTGAGGTGATGCGCTGGAACTTGACCAACTACAAGGAAGCGTTGGATGCGGCCATCAAGGTGCATTTCAACGATAACCTGCAAAAGGGGAACACAACGGGGTCGGGATCCACGTTTAGCAAAGGGGCCAAACCAAGGGGAACGTATAGCAGGGGGAAATTCAAGAAGAGTTTCTCTAAGAATGAGTCCTCGGGGTTCCGGAAAGGCAAATCCGGTGGCCAGCGAGCGAGTACGTGGGGGAGTCAAGCGAAAAGAGACAAACCCACGGATAAGAAGGTCAAGTCGTATAGCAGCGTGGGAAACAACGTATGCTACAATTGCGGTGAAGTGGGACACTTTTCGAGGGAATGTCCCTACCCGAAGAAGGCTAGAGCTAATATGGCCATCAAGTCGGGTGAAGTCCAAACTGAGGTATGTGATCCAGTCCCTAACTCAAAGTTACTCATTACACGAGCAACTTTGGTAGAGAGTCGTTCGCGACATCTACTAGCCCTCCGAGGGAAGCTCGGAAGTAGCTTTGTTAAGATCCTTATTGACACGGGTGCTTTGGATAATTTTGTGGCTGCAGACATAGTCCGGCAAGCCGAACTAACGATGCAGCGGCTAGGCGAACCAAGGACTATAGAGTTTGTTCAAGGTAGCCAAAGCACCGATGAGGTACTTTGACAAGCGAGAGTCGAAGTAGGGACATGGAAAGTAGACATGGATTTCACCGTGTTGGACATGGCGGGATTTGACGTGATCTTCGGAATGGATTGGTTCAATCGGTTTGTGGTAGCCCTACATGGACAAGGTAGGAACCTTGTGGTACTGGCGAATGCCCAAGGAAGAAGATCTAGGGTGGAGGCCCAAGATCTAAAGGTAGGGCAAAGCAAGGCCAAAGAATCCTGCTTAAACCTGGTGTCCACGAGAGGACAACTCACTAAAGGAACTAAGGCAGCCTTTTTGTGCTTACTCTCGGTGAAGAGTGACAAAAATACAGGAATGAAAGAAGTACCTTTAGTGATCCAGCGGGTGTTAGACCAATTCCAGGATACCATGCCGGAGGAGCTACCGGCGGGGTTGCCCCCCGCACGACCAATAGAACATAAGATTGAGCTGGTTGAGGGCGAGGCGGTGGTTCGTCCACCCTATCGTTTGAACGAAAAAGAACTCGCGGAGCTCTAGCGCCAACTAGAGGAGTTGGTGGACAAGGGGTATGTTAGGTTGAGCAAATCGCCGTATGGGGCGCTGGTGCTATTTGTGAAAAAGAAAGATGGGTCTATGCGTATGTGCATAGACTACTGGTTGCTCAACAAGTATACAAAGAAGAACAAGTACCCTTTACCAAGGATTGAGGACCTGTTCG